AAAAAAAAAGAAGACTCCTCTCTACTAAAAATGGAAAAATTAGCTGGGTGTCATGGCAGGTGCCTCTAGTCCCAGCTACTCAGGATGCTGAGGCAAGAAGATTGCTTGAGCCCAGGTGTCTGAGGGGGCTGTGAACTAGGCTAGGGCCACAGCACTCTGGCCTGGGCAGCAGCATGAGGCTCTGTCTCAAACAAACAAAAAACCTCAAAAGGTTATTTTAAAATGTATCTTATCCTTAGGATGTCAAGATGCTTCCACATTCAAAATCTATCAATATAACATTTACCCATCATGGGAGGAAAGCCATATGACCATCTCAATAGATAGGGAAAGTAGCTGGTAAAAAGTCACCACTATTTCAGATCAAGGCGGGCATGCAGATGGCAACCACATACTTCTATCCTCTCTGCACCTGAGTAGCAAGCCCATAGGCTACTGCCTTCCAGATACTTTGATTCAGATGGCTCACCCTAAATTCAAATTGTTTAAAACCAAATCCATTTTATTCATCTTCCCACTGATTTTCTCAGGCTTATTAATAACACTATCATTTTCCCAGTCACCCAGGTCTACATTTTTGGTAAGATTTTTAGTTATGGTAAAATATTTGTAACATAAAATTCACCATCTTACTCACTCTTCAGTTTACTATTGTATCGAGCACACTTGCATTGTTGCACAACTGATCTCGGGTTTTATCTTGCCAACTTGAAACTCTGCCCATGGAAAAACAGCTCTTCGCTTCCCCTCCTCTTTAGCCCCTGGCAACAGCCATTCTATTCTTTGACTCTCAGATAAGTGGAATCATGGTGATTTCCTTCTGTGACTGGCTTGTTTTAGCCAGCATAAGGATATCAAGGTTTATCCATATTGTTGTATATTGCAGAATTTCCAAAAACAAAAAAAAAACCAAAAAAAAACCCAAACAGTTTCAATCTGTTCCTAGGCTAAAATGCCATGCAGTCAGCCTCAAATTCTTGAGTCAAACGATTCTCTTGCCTCAGCCTGACAAGAAGCTGGGACCACTGGTGTGCACCACTATGCCCACCCGATTTTCTTCCTGTTTTTAGTAGAGACCAGGTCTTGCTCTTGCTCAGGCTACTCTTGAACTCCTGAACTCAAGGGATCCTCCTGCCTTGGCCTCCCAGAGTGCTAGGATTGCAGGCATGAGCCACTGGACAGCAGACTTCCTGTTTTAAGACTAAATGGGGCTCGTGCCTATAGCTCACTGGTTAGGGCGCCAGCCACAAAACACCAGGGCTGGTGGGTTTGATCCCAGCCTAGGCCTGCTAAAACAAGAATGATAACATGAGGGCAGCGCCTATGGCTCAAAAGGGTAGGGTGCTGGCCCCATATCCTGGAGGTGGCGGGTTCAAGCCCAGCCCCAGCCAAAAAACTGCAAAAACAAAACAAAACAAACAAACAAAAAAAAAACAATGATAACAACAATAACAAAAATAGCCAGGCGTTGTGGCAAGTGTCTGTAGTCCCAGGTACTTGGGAAGCTGAGACAAGAGAATCACTTGACACCAGGAGTTTGAGGTTTCTGTGAGCTGTGATGCCATAGCACTCTACTGAGGCTCAGTAACAAAAAACAAAAAACAGACTAGGCTCAGCTGCTTTAGCTCAGCGGCTAGGGCACCAGCCACATACACCAAGATTGGTAGATTGAACTAGGCCTAGGCCTGCTAAACAACGATGACAACCGCAACAAAAAATAGCTGGGCTTGCGGCTGGT